TTTGTCATTTGGAGAAGATTGGATTCAGGTTGTGGAAGCTTAGTTGTGCCTATGGCCCATGTGTGGTTGTGCATTGGGCATGTATGTGCATGCACAGGATAAAAAAAGGATGAACATTGGGATAGAAGTCCTTGAAACAAACACATAAAATAAAATAAACATTGCATAATAAATATAAAATAAACATTGCACTTGCAAATGAGCGTGTGTAGTTGGTTGCACATCCAGTTGCACAAAGTTGCACACTGAATCCCATTGTGGCAGTAAGGTGGGATATAAATCCTTGAAAGAAATAAATTAGTAAGTAATATAAATAAAAAGTTGGCAGTTCACGCATCAGATGGTAGGATTTGGGATCCTGGCCATAGCCAGACTGACCCAATGGCCAAGGACTGATCATCCCTGACGAAAAGTAAGGATATGGACGGAGGATGAAAGGGATGAAAAAGACAGGGGTCCGGATGTAGAGGAAGGGCGGAAGGAGAGAAGGAGTTAAAGGAGGGATGGAAGAAGCCAGGGACCAGAGAAGAAGGGAGTTGGGTTTCATGCATTGATTTAAATTAAAATAACCTGCCCAGTCCTTGGATCAAGGTCTCTCTTTTGGCAATGGACTCCAAGTCCCACATGGGTCATTTTTTCCATTTGCGTTGCCAAAATTAAAATATTTATCAGCCCAGATCACATGCTCTCCTGTGTTTGGGTGGCACATTGGTACTGCTAATCCTTTTCCCCAGGAAACTCTGGGAATAAGAAAGCCACCCCTTTCTCCGGCCTCAAACCTCCTTACGAAGCATTTCAATATTACAGACCCAACACTTGCCATAACCCCTGCTTCCATTTGTACTCCAGATCTGTTTAAGGATGGGCAGAAATAACAAAGCGGTTTGGAACAAAAAAAAATAACATGGAAGAAAAATGCTTTGGCATACAGTGTCCCTGCAGCATGCATGGCTAAAATCCTTGACCAGTTAACTCTTGCAAGGTTCTTGCAAACCAGAGGCATAATCCAAAATATTGCAAGGTCTGAGAGGCCCGCAGCAAAGGACAATTTGTTAGCGCATGCCTCCAAGTCATTTCCAAATTATGGACGCTTAAGGAAAAGCTAGGAGCCACCTTGGTTTGAGTGTTGGGACTATGACTCTGGAGACTAAGGTTTGAATCCTGGCTTGGCCATAGAAACCCACTGGGTGACCATCACCACCACCACCACCATCATTATCATTATCATCATCATCATCACCATCATCATCAACATCATCACCATCACCATTATCACCACCATCACCACCATGGGCAAGTCACACTCTCTCATCCTCAAGGGAAGGCAATGGCAACCCCCCCTCTGAAGAAACTTGCCAAGGAAACCCCATGATAGTTTTGCATTAGGGTGGCCATAAGACTTGAAGGCACACACAACAACAACGACAACAACAACAACAACAACAGCGGAAAAGCTAGGAACCAGCTTGGTGCAGTGGTTTGAGCACTGGACTGCAACTCTGGAGATCCCTTGTCCTGTCTTTTCACTGCTCTTTACCTTTTAAACAGGGTCTTTAAAATTGTTTTAATGTTCCAGGGCATTTAATGACATGTTAATGATCATCTTTTTGTTTGTTTCAATTTTCTAAGCTCCCTGGACTTCAGTTCCAGGATGGAGGGAGAGACAGGATATTAAATCAGTTCGAAGCAAAGGGAGATGATGGTTGCGTTGACAAACTTCAATGATAAACACATTTATGAAACGATTCAAATGGCAACTGTGCATTATTTCTACAGTGTAGATGCACCCCTGGCTAATAGATACCAAGCCCCCATTGCTGCTTCTTCTTCTTCTTCCAGCCCTATAATGCAAGTGATAAAAGCCCGGGTTCAATGGACACAGGACCTTAAAGCAAAGTGATAAGAAGGTTTAGGGAGGGTTTTGCTAAACAAAAATCTGGCAGTCACAAAAACATAAGAGTCAGAAGGGACCACAAGGTCCATCTCCTGCAATGTAGGAATGCACAACTATAGCACTCCCCAGATTCCCATCCAACCTTTGCTTGAAGATGGAGGTTTTGTGGTCTTTCTCTCCAAAATCAAGAGGTTGTATCATCAGTAATCTTCTCTTAAAAGTCTCCTTGAGCAATTCCAACAGAATCCCTAGGAGTGTGAATGCAACTTCCCCCCTCCCCAAATAGTGAGACTTCTAGAAGTGGTGACAGACATGATTTCTGGGCACCCCAAGAAAACAAGAGATGGTGGAGGACCCAAAGGGGAAAAAAGGGTTGGAGCCACATCCAATCCATGAGCCACAGTATTCCCACCCAAAGAGAAGGAGCTCCAGTGAGTCTGACTTATTTGGATGCAGAATTATTGCAGAATGACACCGCTTTAACTGCCATGGCTCCATCCTATGGAATCCTGGGGTTGGTACTTTGTTGCAGCACTAGAGCAGAGAAGATTAAATATCTCAAAGAACTACAGATCCCAGAATTCCATAGCAGTTAAGAGCGGTGTCAAACTGCATTAATTCTGCAGTGCAGATGCAACCTTTGACTTGGAGCAAAACTGGCTTTGGCTGATTTGTTTGGGATCCTGCTCCCTCTAGTGGACGATGAGAAACGGTGCAACTGCTTCTTTCTTCCCTGCACTATCTTTCTGGAAATCTTTTCTTTCTCACTTTATTCTTTGTCTATTGTATCCCTCTGCTCCCATCATCAAATCTGGCACTCAGAGGTTAGACAGTGTATTTATTTAAACGTTTTGCATGCTACGTTTCCACACACGCACAACACAAAGGGTTAAAAAATAAAAGCATGAAACAATATCTCTAAATTGAACAGTTTCAACCAGTCCCTATACTGTACATCCATGTTTACTGAACTTTATTATGATGCCTGATATTGTGGCATAGTGTTGGACAATGACTCTGGAGACCAGGAAACATGTTGGCCATACAGCAAATCCAAAAACATGCAAACAATGATACCTTTATTGGGCCACCCAAAATGCACAATGACATGTTGCAAGCTTTCAAAGTCACACTGGTTTCTTCATCAGGCAAAGAGGAGGAGAAAAAATTGAGGATGTTAGTCTTGGGCCTGCATTTTCTGTTTCTGGTCTCAGTTCAGATGTTAAAGGAGGGCTGTCTGCAGGCTGGGTCCTTCCCTTTTGGCCATGCAGCGGTCAGTGGAAAATTTTGCAAGCCAAGGGAATATAATGTCCATCTGCAATCCAAAGAAGATGTTTCCTTGGAATCCAGCATGTCTCTCTTTCCTTTGTGAAGCCTCAGGCTCCTATGCTGGTAGAGAATGCAGAATTCCTCAAGAAGTCTTCATGTTTTGCATCAGGAAAACTTTAGGTGATGGAGGGGTAAAGCATGCCAAGCAGTCCCACTATTAGAAAATATTGGCCAGTGTGACTTCAAAAGTTTGCAACATGTAGCTGTGCATTTTGTATCATTATTTGGATGTTTTTGGATCTGGAGACCAAGGTTGACCATGAAACCCACTGGGTGACCTTGGTTAAGTCATACTCTCTCAGCCTCAGCAGAAGGCAAGGGCAAACCTCCTCTGAACAAATCTTGCCAAGAAAACCCCATGCTAGCTTCACCTTAAGGTCTCCACAAATTGGAAACGGCGTGAAGAAGGCACACAACTGAACACAGAGCAGAATCCTGAAAGCAACTCCCCAAAGCATCTCTGGGTGACCTTGGGTGAGCCACACTCTCTCAGCCTCAGAGAAAGGCAATGGCAGACCACCTCTGACCAAGAAAACCCCATGGTAGCTTCGCCTTAGTTGGGAAGGGCTTGAAGGCACACCACCAAAGACAGAGCAGAAACCTGAAAGCAACTCACCAAAGAAGCATCTCTGCAATGCTGGGGAGCCAAACCTGGAGCCACCTGGCTTCTTCTCTTTGCCTCCTTGCTGGCCAGGTGAAGAAGACCAAGGAGCTTCCTTGCCCTGGCAAGGCAATCCCTCCAGGGACTGGGCAGCTGGCCCAGGGCCCCAAATTCAAACTGACCAATCCCAAGCCTGGCTCAGTTGCTATCTATCTACTTACCTGGGAGTGTCCTCAGGTGGGCTGGAGGCTGCAAAGACTGACCTCCCATTGCAAGACAGGGCTCTCTCTCCCCTGAGTCCTTTCCAGAGACAGGAAGGATTTGGGGAAAGGATTAAATGATTAACTTTGAGTTAATCATCAGTGCCCTAAAAGGATCCGGTTCCTTTGCATCTGCATTTAAAGCAACTCACCTTTAACCCCTGTTTTCAACTTTATTTTAAGAAGCAACAATGAAGGCACTGAACAGATTAAGACTTTTAAGTTCAAAAATAACAGAACTTCTCACATATATCAGCAGACGCATTAAATCTGTTGCGTCTCCTATCTTTAAATTTATTATGGTTTTACAATAAATTTCTTTCTTAGACCCTAGAGAAAAGTTTACACTAAGGAGAGGAGACATCTATAATTTGGCTAAAGGTAATGAATAAAGACAATGGCATCGTAAGAGAGGAAATTCTGCAAGTTTGGAAGCAGAACCACCCTGAAATAACTGATATTTTAAAGACTGGCTTTAATAGGATGGCATATTCTATATAAGTATTCAGTATATAGTGCATAATACATAGTATACCAAAGGTAGAAAGCATTCTAATAATATTCAGGAGGAAGTCCTATGATTACAAGACATTAAATTTGTGAAGACTTATTCTATTTTATGTTACATTTATGTAATTGAATAAGACATAGTAAGAATTCATATGTTAAGATGTCAAGTTTTTACTTTATGTATTAATGGTATAAATAAAATATTTTTTTAAAATGTAAGAAGCAAGTCTTTGAATACATTTTATGTCTGTTGTTGTTGTTGTTGTGTTGTCTTCAAGTCATTCCTGACTTATGGCGACCCTATTCATGGGGTTTTCTTGGCACATGTCTTCAGAGGGGGTTTGCCGTTGCCATCCTTTGAGGCTGAGAGAGTGAGACTTGCCCAAGGTCACCTAGTGGGTTTTCATGGCCGAACTGGGATTCGAACCCTGGTCTCCGAGTGTCGTAGTCTGACACTCAAACCACTGAGCCTTGCTAGCCCTCATATTAACTGCCTTCAAATGATTCATAGCAACCCCATGAATGAGACATCTCCAAGACCCCTTGTGCATGTGCCTTTGAGGCTGCGTCTGCACTGCAGAATTAACACAGTTTGATACTGCTTTAACTGCCATGGCTCCATCCTATGCAATCCTGGGATTTGTAGTTTGTTGGGGGCACCAGAGCTCTCAGATAGAGGATATCTCACCAAACTGCAAACCCCAGAATTCCATGGCATTCAACCATGGCAGTTAAAGCAGTCTCAAACTGCATTATTTCTGCAGTGCAGATGCAGCCAGTCACCTGTCAACTTATTATTATAAATTTCAGGGACTTTTTCCTAAGCAAGGAAAACTCAGAGGTGGTTTTGCCAGTTCCTTTCTCTGAAACAGAGCCTCCACTAGTTGGTCTTCATTGGCGGTCTCCCATCCAAGTACTAACCAGGGCTGACCCTGCTTAGCTTCCAAGACCAGACAGCATCTTCTTTGTTTGCTTCTGTTTCTTTGTTCCCAGGTCTTCTTCTCCCCTCCCTTGAGCTCCTTGAAGGCCCTGAGAAACGGGGTTCCCCCTTCGTTTTCCCCCCGAATGTCTCCTTCCCTCTAATTATTTCATATTGCTCAGGGTAAATCAGTTTCATAATTTCTAGGATATTAAGCACTTAATATGTTGTGTCATTTGAAACCACATCTTACAGTCAGCAAAGTGCATTTTAATGAGAGCTAAGTGGTGTGAAAATACTAATCCCATATAACAGTTGGGTTTTGGATTGCTTTCCCCCTCCTCTTTGTGTGTGTGTGTGTTTTTAAAAAATTAATTCTTATATTTTAAAAGCTTTGGCACCCCAGGCAGAATATGGTTGGAGCAGGTAGCCATGTTAAAATAAATGTTAAATGAGTGCTTGACTTGAAGAATTCATCATCACAAGGCAGAAGGCTGCCAAGTTTCTTTCCTCGCTCTGCTCCTGCGCCCTGTGGCTGCATCTGCACTGCAGAAATAATCCGGTTTGACACCACTTTAACGGCCATGGCTCAACACTATGGAATTCTGGGAAGTGTAGTTTGTGGTGGCACCAGAGTCTACCTAAAGATACCACACGAGCCAATGTGGTATTGTGGTCTGAGTGCCGGACAAGGACCTCAGGAGACCAGGGTTCAAATTCCACCCACTTTTCCAAAATCACTTTGGACAAGTCACACTCTCTCAGCCTCAGAAAGGGCAAACCTGCTCTGAATAATAAATCTGGCCAAGGAAACCCTTGGATGGGGTCACCATAAGTCATAAGGAAACAACCTGAAGGCACATCATAGCAAGACATAATATGGTGCAGTGGTTTGAGTGATGGACCTGGACTCTGGAAGACCAGGGTTCAAATACTTGCTCACCCATGGAAATCCACTGGGTGACCTTGGGCGAGTCACACTCTCTCAGCCATAAGAAAGGCAACGGCAAACCTCCTCTGAGTAATAAATCTTGCAATGAAAACCCTACAATAGGATTGCCTTAGGGACCCCATAGTCTCAGAAATGACTGGAAGGCACACACAGCAGCAACAAGGTTGAAGATGCTACGGACCGGATTTGGGGACATTTGCACACAGAGCCTATGGCTTCTCCTACGGATCCACAGCCCTACTTTGATGCAAAGCCTGCCTTGCTTCTCGGCCTCATCCGATTTTGCAAAACTAAGCAGGATGAGACCACTTCTCCAGAAAGCAAAGGATCTCTAGGTATGGCTAGGAAAGGAATTATGCCAAAAACTCTGGGGATTGTGCAGCTTCCAGCCAGAGTTGCCAGTATGGGGCTACAAGGGCTGGGAGGGAATAAAACAGAATTCAGAGACAAATAGTGATGTTCGCCTGGAATATCAGTCTGCAAAGAGATCTTGTAGCACCTTTGAGACAAACTGAGGGAATGCAGTTGTCCCACAAGCTTTAGTAGACTTGGGGCTTTTTCAGACTGCCAAAAATAGTGCAAATTGAGTCCACTTTAAGGGTTAGGGTTAGGGTTAGGGAATCATGGGAAGTGTATTTTATTGTGGCACCAGAGCTCTCTGACAGAGAAGACTCAATGTCTCAGAGGAAAAAAAAACAATTCCCATGATTCCCTTGCACTAACCCTAACCCTTAAAGTGGACTCAATTTGCACTATTTCTGGCAGTCTGCAAAGGCCTTTGGTCTCCTTCCTAAGTTGCAGGGAGCAAGTGTTGCTCAGGAAGGAACTTTATAAGCAGATTGCATGAATAGCTGTGTTATAGAAATGCAAAACTTGTGGGTCTGGTGATGAAGTGGCCAGTTCCGCCTTAACTATGGTCATTGAGAAAAATAAAGAAAAATGGAGGAAAGATGTTGCCTAAGGCCAGGATGGCTGGATGACCATACAAATGGGGAAGGGAGTTTAGGAATGTGGTCCATGCAGGCTGGGAACCAGAAAGGAGATGGGATAAACTGGCTAAGAGTGTCCCCAAGAAGTTGGAGTGATAACCAGTGCTATAAAGATCCTTCCTGGGAATCACTTCACTCCATGCATCTGAGAAAGGAGACCAGATCCATGAAAGCTTATGCTACCAGCTTAGTCTCAAAAGTGCTACAAGATCCCTCTATAGAAGCCAATTTCTCCTGTTCCTGCAAAGAAGATCCCACAGTCAGTCCCAGCAGCATCTACAGGAAAAGCCAGAAAGAGTCTTGCCTGGAAACCTTTGCTGACACTTTTGGGTTGTATGGACTCAGGAGAAGGGCCATGCAATGGAGCAAATCCCAGGTTCTCACCATTGAATCATAGAACCGGATGAGACCACAAGGATCATCCAGTTCAACCCCTTGCCATGCAAGAAGACACAGTCAAACTCTCCTGACAGATGGCTATCCAGCCTCTGCCTGGAAGTCCCCTTCCCCTTCAGCAAAAAACCCTCTTTAGTGCTGAAAACCACTTCTAATCCTCAACAGGTTTACACTCTAAACAGATCCAAGCATAGCTGGGCTGGCCATATAGCAAAGTCCAATAACATCCAAAATCCACCAAACAGCGATACCTTTATTGTCCCAACCAAAACGGACAATAGACATCTTGCAAGCTTTTGAAGCTCCACTGGCTTCTTCATCAGGCTAAAAGCTGAAAACCTGCATTTTGATGTTTTTGTTCTCCATTCAGATGGTATGGAAGGGTATATCTTGCAGGCTGGCACCTCCTCCTTCTCTCCATATAGGTACCAGGAGAGTCTCGAAGTCCAGGAAATTTAACTTCCATTTGCAACACGAAAAGATATTTCCTTTGCAATCCAGTATGTCTCCATCCTTTGCAATCTAGTATGACTCCCACAGGCCCCTTTGATAGGCAGAGAACACTGGATTTCTCAAGATTTCTACTGTGGCCTTCTCTCCCCCCCAATATATATATAGCAATGACTCCTGTTATTTCTTTCATTGCTGGATAACTTACTTATTTATTCTACCTTAAGAAAGTGTCTGTCTAAATGTTTGCAATCTTGTGCATCATCAGTCGGTGACCTCACAAAAGATGTCGCTTCCCCTACATCAAAGCCTTGGAATTAAATAAAGCCTTTGGTACTTTTGTTGAGTCTCAAACACTATTTATGTCTGGAACCCTTTTGGTGTCTTGCACAAGCGCAAGCATGGCTCACTTTTGTCTGACTTGGAATGACAATTCAGTTCAAGTTTGTGGAAGCAGAGTTGCACATGTCGTGCTGCCCATGAAATGGGAATAATTGGATTTGATTGCACATTGAGGTCTGCATTCAGTTGCACAAGGGTTGTGTTGCACAATGAGTGGAGACTCCCACATGCAGAAATTTGCCCTTTGCAATCCAGATGGGACATTTTTGCCATGAACGCATGTTGCGGTTCTGCACACAAACACACACGAGAGAATTGCTCTAAGGGGGAACTACTCCTGAGTAAACATGGATTCAGTGACTGGGACTCGATGGAAACCTTAATAAATAGATTAAATGCGCACCCAATTCTTGTCTGAGTGCACTAGATGGCAGCCTTGCAATAGGAAACCGCACCAATGCACCCTCCAGTAAGCAGCCCTGTTTGTTTTCCTGCTAAATGACACCATATTTTTCCTATTAATGTTTCATTTTACTTAATTAGAATTTGGGAAGCTAATTAAAATAGATACCAGAAACCTCAATCAGTAACAAATTGCATAATTATCAATAATTACGCGCATTCCAATAGTTTGTGCTCTTAATGCTTCACGGGAGTGACATTTCGACTGCACTCAGAACAACAGGAGCTACTGCGGAGGAGATGCCACAGGCTGCAACTTTTGGAAAACCTTCTCCATGGCAAGCAAATGGAAAGCAAGGCCACCAGCCAGGAGCATTAAAATGCAGAACCCGGTCTGACCCCAGCGGCTGTGGAAGCCAGTGGTTCTGCTCCGGGCTTTAGTCCAAACTTTAAAGGAGCTATTCTGGCCCATGGACCTACTTCGTAGGCCAGAATGGACTCAATAATACCCCGCAGACAGAGGTCACCATGCCAGAGATAAGTCCGAAGGAGAATCTTTTCTTATCACTATACAGTGGTCCCTCCACATTTGCTGGGGTTAGGGGTGAAAGACACTCCCTCCATGAATGTGGAAAAAACACAAATAAAAAATATTCTTTCTACCTAAGAGGACACCTCTCTAAGAATCACCAGTTCCTCCAACTTTATGGTCAACATCTTGGCCATAGGATTACGCCAGAGGACCTACAAATGCCTAGAGAAGTGTTTTCTCTATTGACCTCTAAGTGCTCTAACACAACTCTATGGTCAATTTCCGGCAGAGTTGCGCCGGAGGACTCAGATATTCCTAGAGAGAACATATTAATCAAACCCACAAATAATCAAATCCGCAAAAGTCAAAGCCGTAAATGTGGAGGGCCAACTGCACAGTCGGATTCTCCATCCACAGATTCCATCATCCGCGGCTTAAAAATATTTAAAGAATACGTAAATTCCAAAAAGCAAACCTTGATTTTGCCATTTTATAAAA